ACGAAGGAATATAACAGCTAATTAAACCACACAGCAGTATGGATGGTTCAGTTCAACTCACTTCTGTGGAATAGTTAATATACTGGAAGTCCTTCAACTCACAAGGGCTGCTAGGTCCAAGGTAAAGGAAGCAGATAGCTGAGTCTTCCCTCGGGGAAATGCAGGCACAGCATTCCCACAGGCAGCAAAATGCAGGGTGGGTCACCAACAGTCAGTAGCTCAGGAGCTTAGTGAAGCAGGCCAGGATGGGATATCAAACTCAAGCAATGCAAGATGACAGTATCCACCAGCCTCAAGCTCAAATGATGTACACACCAGCAGCATGGTGAAGCAGGTCTCAAAGGAACCTCAAGTCCTAGCAACACAATACATGGGTTGGTTTGTTCCACAGGTAGTGTAGCTCACTAGTTGAGGCAGAGAACTAGCTAAAGCACATGCAATCCGGTCCAACAACCAGAGAGCAAGAGAAAGAGGGGTAGACCTTGCCAGGCCATTTATCGATGTGTCCTCCAATCAAACTGCAGCCTGATTAATCCCATGTGTTCCTATTGGGCAAGTTCGCACAATAAACCTGTCACACTATCTCATCCATGTCTAATGTCTTCCTATTTTTTTTATTGGTCATCTACTTTACTAAGCATAATATTGCCTTCCAGGCATTCAGACAAAGTACTATGGACAATAGGATTTTTGAGTTTTGTTGCATTTAAAAAGACTTACTAATGAAAAGAAATGATTAATAAACAGTCATACAAGAGTTCTGCTAGAATTAATAAGTCTAAAACCTCAATAACAAAGCTCATTTGAGACATCCCCTTGCAGAAGGGTCCCAAGGAAGAGATGAGTCAATCAGAGTGCATTGTAACACTGATGAAACAAACAATATTTCTCTGGTTTCTTGAGGTTTCTTCACCCCACCCTCCCCCACTCTCATGACCCTAGTCCTGACTTTCATTTCTGGCTAGACTGGAGCATGTGCACTGATTCAGATAAGAGCTTTGGACACATGGACTCCAAGTTAGATAGACCCCTCCGAACAGACATGGGAGTAGTGATACCAGAAAGGTAGGCAGAAGGTGGGGAGAGGAGAGAAGGAAGGGAGAACTGATGATGATGATGGACACATTACCACACCCTGTCCCCCAGGGGGGTGAACCGCAAAAACCGTGGAGGAAGGGAGCCAGTGGTCAGAGTAAGATATAAAAATAATAATAATTTATAATTTATCAGGGAGTCACAAGCATGGGAGGGGGGAGGAAGGGAAAAAAGAGGAGCTGATATCAAGGGCTCAATTGGAAAGTAAATGTTTAGAAAATAATGATGTACAAATATGCTTGATACAATTGATGTATGGATTGTTATAAGAGCTGTAAGATGCCACCCCCCAATAAAATTATCTTTTAAAAAAACAGCCAATTGGAGAAGGAACTGATCATAAGTTGTCATCTTAATAACATTTTAATGCCAGGTCCATATTAATTTAAATTATATAAAAATTTAAACTATTCCCAAGTGTAGAGTAATATAAATTCAAAAAGATCTTGATTAGCATAAATAACTGAAGAACTAGGAATCTTCATGGGAAACTGAGGGGTTGCATAACTATTATTGGGGTCTCAATGACATCAGTTCAGCCAGAGTCAATATATTTATAACATGTGTGTGCATTTGGAATTTTTTTCTAAGATTTAAGATAATATAATTATCTCAGTTCCGATCATGAATTATTTTTAAGATTCTAATTCAGCCATGCATTTTGCACACAGGAGATTTTTAGTCACAAGTTTACTCATAGAGCTACACAAAGCAGAACACTTTCCATAAAATTATGATAGAAAGAAAAATTTTATCAACTCCAAATTACTGTAGGCAAGAGAAATATTATAGTAGTCATACTTAAGATAGGATATCAAAAAATGCACCTCACAGCACTGATGAAACACACAATATTACTTTGGTTCATTGAAGCTTCCTCACCCCCACCCCCATGACCCCAGTAAAGCCTCTCACTTCAGACTAGACTAGAGCATATACACAGCTGTAGATAAGAGATAAGGGCTCATGACACACGCAAGCCAAGAGCAGGAATGGGAAGAGAAATACAAATAGGAAGGGTGAATAGGGTTGGGGAGGGGAAGAAGGGGAAACCGATCCCAATGATCAGCACACAACCACACACACCCCTCCAGGGGAAAGTACAACAGAAACTATGGGGGAAGGGAGACAGTGGTCAGCGTGAGATATAAAAGTAATAATAATTTATTATCTATCCTGGGGTCATGAAGAAGGGGAGAAGGACGAAAAAGAGGAGTTGATAGCAAGGGCTCAATAGAAAGTAACTGTCTAGAAAAGAAAGATGGCAGCATGTGTACAAAGGATGTATGGATTGTAATAAGCATTGTAAGAGCTCTCAATGAAATGATTTAATAAAAAAGAAACAGACAGATGAATCCCTCAGGACCAGTGGTGAGATACCGGGGGTGGGGGGGGAGTGGGGGGTGGAGAGAAGGTGAGGGAGAAAGGGGGAACAGATTACAAGGATCTACATATAACCTTCTCCATGGGGGTTAGACAGCGGAGAAGTAGGTGAGGGGAGACATCGGATGGTGTAAGATATGACAAAATAATAATAATTTATAAATTATCAAGGGTTCATGGGGGAGGGGAGCACAGAGGGAAGGAAAAAGTGAGGAGCTGATACCAAGGGCTCAAGTAGAAAGCAAATGTTTTGAGAATGATGATGGCAACATATGGACAATGAGCTTGACACAATGTATGTATGTATGTATGGATTGTGATAAGAATTGTATGAGCCCCTAATAAAATGATTTTTAAAAGGAAATGCACTTCAGACAACTTCAGAAATGACCTCTATTTGGATTGCACAGCCACATAATATTCCCAAGTGAGTTATAGCATACTAACACTTTGAAATAACGTTATTTTAAGTTCTCAATGCTAAACATAGTAGCAATGTCAGACAACAGATTAGGGTTTTAGTCATCTTTGACACAGAAAAACCTGATAAAAATACCATCTGTTTCATAAATGTTATACTCAGTGGTGCTTTAATAGTAATTCTTTCTCATGTCATTGTTTTAGTACTTATGTATAAGTATCTTGCTGTGTTAGTTACATAATCTGTTGTCAATTTAAGAGTATTAAGAATTAAGGGGTGGAGTTTAGCCTATCAATCAGGTCTCAGCTTGATGACCTCATTTGGAAGTGCTAAGGGGATAAATATCTCATTGAAGGCGGGACACTTGCTCACTCCCTGTGAGCCACCCTTGCTGAAAAGTCACATGGAGCTACCCTGAAGCAGCCAGAGCCCTGGGAGCTGGAGCAGCCACATGGAGACCTATGCCAGCGCTGAGAGGCTTCTACCCCACTGGATCCACAACATTTCCCACCCACTGGCCTGTGATTTTCCTGAATTCAACATCACTGTATGTTGTGTATGGCTGTGTGAGTCTGAAGAAGAATTTATGGACTAGTAGCAACATATGGGGTAATATTGGACTTATGGACTTGATCTGGACTGGACTGGAATGTTTTCTCAATATTCAATTGCTTTTGTCTATAAAGATCTTTCTTATATGCATATGTGTGTCTATGAAATTTGTTTCTCTAGTCTATCCAGACTAACATGGTTGCCAATATTTAATCACACATAATATCTTAAATTTATATTTGGTAATTTTCAAAATAATATTACAGGATTCATTTTTTAACTCAGAAAGTATTTATTCTACCAT